TGAGAGACAAAATATTTCTGAAGCAGGTATCTTAAGATTTTTCTTTTTTAATCATGTTAGTATAGTCTTTCCATCTGGCCTTTCTGATTCTGTCCAAGTGGTGTTCTGACTGTGTCCTCATTCTGCAGTAGTTATAGTCTTAGCAAGGGATATTCACAGAAGAGTAGTTTTCTATACTCGTGATGGTATAAGGACAAAGATGGGACTGGGTAAAAATGGCATGTCTTTAATACCATCTGATATAGTTCAGAAGAAGTAGAGCTTTCGGGCTCTCAAAATCTTCAGACTTGGAGACAATAACTGCTGATTTTATTTATCTCAATACTTGCTAGTTGAAGCACTTAGAATTGCTTTAAAACAGCTGTGGCTTCTAATTTAGACCTGAAGAGATCTTTCTTACCTTCCATATTTTGTAGGACAAAAAATATGGAATTTGGTGTTTTGGTTAATGTGCTCTTTGTCTCTGAAAGAAAAGATTAGGGATCTTTAAAAAAACAAACAAAATTCGACAGTCCTGGTATGAAGTCTGGGAACTCTTATTTAATGCTCCCCTCCAACCAGGACTAGTTGAAAAAGTTAATTATGCTGATACTTTGAAGACCTCAGCACCGTATATACTTTGAATGGTTCTCCCATTCATTATCATTGCATGCCTATACAGTGAGACTACAGGGGTGCTATATGGACCTGATACCGGTATATTTTAGAGCTCAGTGTTGTGGTATATGTGAATTAGGTCAATGACTTTACAGTCTTTTGTCACAAGACATCAAGAAGAAAGAGAGAAGTAGGACAAGAATGAAATGTTTTTAATATAAAAAAATTACTCAAATGAAATTCCTTTCTTCTCCACTTGCATAGTCTTAATGGTTGACTTGGAGGAGTTCTGAGACCACTGAGCTTAATGTTCTAAAGATATTTTCTGGATGTGTGTGTGTAATTGAAAGTGTGATGTTGTTGAAGAACTGTCTGATCACACATTCACATAAGCTACTAGTCTAAAATGCCTCTTTAATAGGCTCATGCATATGTTAGCTTCTCTGAGATGTTGGGTTTGTTTTTTTTGTTGGTTTGGGGTTTTTTTTCTTCACATTGTACAAACACCCAAAAGAATAATGAAAATGAAGAGACAAATAAATTAGGGGAGAGCATAAGTACGCTCTTATGTGGCGCTTAGGGACATGGTTTAGTGGTGGACTTGGCAGTGTTAGGTTTATGGTTGGACTTGATGATCTTAAGAGTCTTTTCCAGCCTAAATGATTCTATAATTCTGTATGTATCCTCTCGTTCTATGCTTATTTTTTTAGTGCTATAATTAAGTAATATAGAACTAGAAGGAGCTGGAAAACTGTTAGATGTTATCGCTCTGGTAGGTACTTCAGCTGTTAAATCTGATACATCAGAACATTAAGGATATTTAAAGAAAACCTGAAAGATGAGGATTTCAGTACAAAGTTCAGTGTTATCAACATACTGAAATTTAAAATCTGAAGAAGAACGAACATGCAGGCATAAGTGAATCCTGATACGGCAACATCCATAAAGTTGAAAATCTGTCAACCTTTAGCTACTTTTTACATATGGTGATATAAATCATATGAAAAAAATGAAAAAATATTTGAAACTTAGTTTGATTTTATGGGGGGGTTTATGCTGCTGTTGTTACAGTTTTCAGATAAGTACTACATTATGAAAGAAGGCTTTTGCTATTATCTTGATTTAGATAAAATCAAGACAGTGCCAGTTCAGAGTTAAGAACATAATACTGAAATGCTTTCCTCCAGATGCAAAAGTTGTAAACAGGAGAATCTTTTATGTATATTTGAAAAAGAAAATCAATGGTTAAACTCTATGTAATTGTATAAGGTATATATAGATTCATTTCTTTGTACACTTGTAAATTAGCATAGACATAGCACTTTGAAGTACTCAATCCTGCAAGGAGTTCTGTTTTGTCCAGTCTTATGAAAACGTATCAGTAGAAGACAGTCTTTTTTTTTTTTGGTAGCTGGAATACCATGAAAGTGCAAAGAAGTTGTTTCAAAATGATGAACCACTTTAGAAAAAGTCAGATTGCAAATTAATGTTAGTCATAGTGGTTCTGTACTTTCTTCAAACACTGTAAAACTGTATTTAGTAACAGCATTGTTTGTATTTGGATATTTCTATATCGTCATGCAACCTATTGATCTCACATACTTTATTTTTTAATGTCTAGAAGTACAATTAGATGCATGCTGCATTTAATACATGTGTAGAAATGTTATTTGTCATAAGTCATTGTAATGGTCCAATAACTTCCAGCCTTAAGTAGCTTCTAACCACTGAAATTCTTTTAATATCTCACTCTCTAAACTCAGGCTTTGGCTTTAACAAAAATAGTAATTTTGTCAGTAATACTACTGTTTCCCCACCCCACTCTCCAAGTCTCCATCAAAAACTTTCCTGTTAACTGTGTGAAGGAGGGAGGGGCATTACCTTAAATAGTCACTAACTTTTTCTTACTGTTTGTGTGCTTATTGCTAAATAAATCTGGCAAATCTCAACATAACATCATGAGTTCAGATGTGTATGTCTGTTGGCTGATACAAGTAAGCCAGGCTTCTATGTATTCTTCTAATGACTGATGTCATGCCAATAACCAAAGGCATTGCATTCCAAAAAGCAGAAGAAACAAAAGCAGTCTAAAGCTATTCACCATCTTGTCCTACTTAATGCATATTACCTGGTTCTGTTTCCTTCATCAGGCTTTTTTAACTGCATCTAGAAGACAATGAGGAAGAGCAACCTTTTGCTGAGTTGTCACTTGGTTAGGCTCAAAATGACAGCCTATAAAAATAGCTACTGTTAAAAAGTTCATGAAGTCCTTCTTGTGCAAGATGCTCCCATTAAATGAAATACAACCTTTTAGCTAAAAGAACTCTGAGGTGATTATAAGAAATACTTGCTTTCAATTTTCATTTTGATGAGATTACAGTAATCTTTCCAGCCAGTTTCCTAAAATTTTGTTTCTATAAACCTGAATTGTAATGTGTTTGAAAAAACAGGTGTGGTATAATCCAGAGATTTTTTAATTGAACAATGTTTTTGCTCACAACATGACTGAAAGATACAACTTCTAGTAAAGGGTGTCTGACACTGCCTTCTCAGATCTAGCATTTTGAGGTATGGATGCTGATGTGTTTGGATAGGTTGTACTAAAATGTATTTCAGTAATCTCCTATGACCATGTTTGTCCTTTTAAAATTTGACAAATGAAAATAGTGGTAAATTATTTCTGTAATAAAGATTAGGCAAAAGGACTTGATTTTTTTTTTTAAATTTATCTACTTTTGTGTAATTATAAGTGTAGGTTTCACACTTTAAAAAATACAGTTTATTTGTAGCTGGTAGTACTAAGTAATCAATGATATGTTTACAGGCTAAAAAAATTTTGAACATTACTTATTTAAAAAACCCAACTCTTTGTGTTGTGCCACTGAGTGGTAAAACTACTTGAAATTTTTTATCCATTATTTTGGTTGTGTTTTTCACTAGCTTTCCATATTGTATCTAACATTATAGTGTTAACTTATAATTCCACTAAGTTCCTATGTCATTGAAATCAGTCAGTCCTTTTTTTCTTTTTTCTTTTTAAAACCATATGGCTGTTTGCTTTATGCTGAGATATAGTTTGCAAAAATGTGTCCTAAAACAGAGACTGGGCTTTGATACAAAGATCTGTTTGTGTTCTTTGAGCTGGTCTGGGAACCTTCTGTGGCCATTTTCTAAACTCTCATAATTTCTCTCTTGCATTTATTTCCATGCTGTGCTTCATATTTTGTCATGTGCACCTTGTCAATCTACAGTGTAGGCCATTCATCATTTCGTGTATTGGGTATATTCTGCATTACCTCCAAATACATCAGGTTGTAATTCTTGCCGTTTATGTTTGGCCAGGCACTGCTATAGTAAGTATCCTTGCACCTTCTGTACAAGTGAAGAGCCTGAAGCAAGTTTAGCTTCTGTTGTTTCGTATTATTTTCCATAGATATGAGTTGATACTCCAGAATAAGGTATATTCCAAATCCCAGAGGTTTTTTGGACATAGCTGTTTGTGGAATAGAATTTTTTGTCAAATGGCAATTTTTTTTTTCTTATGGGCCTATGCTCCCTGGTCTGAGGGAAACGAATTTTCCTGCTTTCAGAAAACTATTAGTTTGGCAAAGTTGGAGACAGAATTAACATATCCTCTCGCTATAAAATATATATGCTTCTGTATGTGCCTATATGAAATTGTAGTAAATGTGGCCCCTTAAAGAAAATCTTATTGAAGTCCTGACTGTCATGTGCTGTTTGACACTAGTTTTGCTACTAATTCTTGAGCCTCCTCTGTTCTTGTGTGTAGAAAAATAATTCTTCCCTTTTCTGTAAGAATTCTTTTAAGTGTACAGAAAGAAATAAAGAAAATTCTCTTGTCTGGGAAGTATATAAAAATCCCCTACAGTAGTTTGTCAAAGAATTGAGAGTAGCCCCAAGTTTATCTACAAGAGCTGATTTTTATCAAAGAACATGATATATATTGTAGTAAAGTCTAAGGCTGTACGTGTTTTTCCTGGAAGAGTTGTGAAGCAGAGCCTTGCCTGACGCTCGGCCTGTCGGTTGTGTTGTCATTGTGTTGGATTTTTCTCTTGGCCCGTTTTCGCTGCGTGTCCGCGGGGGCGGGGCAGGTTGAGCCCCTGTCGCTCTCCGTGGTGCTGAACGCAGGGCGCGTCAGCTAGCGCGCGCCTGTCGCTCTCCCTGGTGCTGCACAATCGTCGGGTACCTGCCGCTCTCCGTGGTGCGTTTTAGCTTCACTGGCACTGATGTCAAAAGCAAGTAAGTTTTACTTCCTGTTATGCAAAAGAGTACGTTTCGTTACTAGCAAGATCTCTTTAGAGGCCCAACTTACATAACTACAATTGTCCAGTCCTTTTACATAGTCAGTGTGGTGAGCTATAACATTGATTACAGTGAACACTATGAAGGTAAGTGCAGTGAATTATTTATCTGAAAATGTGTGCCGTGCCATTTGGTAGTGGCTTCCCAAAAGCCTGACAAAAAGACAAAGAAGTTAAAATAAAAAACAAGAACTAGTATTTTTCAGGGAGTTCTCTCAGTTAGCAAATTAAGAAATGTTTGAGAATATGTAAACGAGCAGCAGCATTTTATTCATATTGTCAAGACTCTAAAAGAGGAGTTCAAGTTTGATTTTTCTAAAGCTGGCTTAGGAAGTATAGAACACAAAACTTGATGATGTCCTTCAGAATTTATTCTTGGTTCAGTTCTGTTCTGAAATAATTGCATCCTTTTAAGGATTTAAAAAAGTTGGAAACACAGTTTTCTGGTCATAAAATTAATTAAATATGTGTATTTTACTTCTGAATGGTGCCCAAAGTATCCTAGATTCAAAAGCCCTTGTAGCTCTCAAAAGAACAGGACATTGCATCTTGAAATTATATACTACTTAAAAACATTTATTTTGATGATTAATCAAAAACAGTGATACAAGTCTGTAAGATGACTACCTTTTTCACCCTGTTTCTCCACTTTAGATGTTGCTACTTTTTGTTTTGGGAAGCTTTGAACTTAATATCACTGTGCTGAGAGAAAATTCATTTGTTTGTATGTGGAACAATTCTTATAGAGTGAAGATCTTTGCTATGGTATTTGTTTTGCCAAGGGCAAACTACTGTTATCTCCTCAATGCAAAGTCAGTTGCTTAGCTTTGAGAACTTTGCAGTGCATTATTTCACAGAGTCTAAATACCCACAAACTGATGCAATGCAAATATACTGCCTTAAATTCCTCTAGGGATCTCCATACCTGAAAGGCTCAAATCAAATATGTGAATATTCAAGAAATAAATCGGAATGCAGCTCAGACTAAAACACAATTTGGAGTAGCCCTTTGGCCTATCTTGTTTTTCTTGCAGCAATTTAAGGTCTGATTATATAGCAGATGTATCAACTGTATTCTAGATAGATGATCAGAAGGTAAATGGGATTCTTTGTCACCAGGAGGCAGCTTGGGGAATTTGTGCATCTGTCACTAAACTATTTTTTAATTTCTTTTTTTTTTTTTCCTTCCCTTCAGTATGTTTCTCAAGATTTAACAGTCTTAGGAAATTGCCTAAAGCTAACTGCACGACAGATTTGTAGTGGTTGTTTCTGATGTGACCTCATTGGTAGAAGTTAACATTCCAAAACTGAAAAAGGGGTTTTCATTGGGTGTTGGTGGCAGTGCTACCCTATCTCTCCCAGCACAAGGACATTGAGTTGCAGTTGCAAGTATATGCTAAATCAGTCTGTAATGGGAGGAAAAAAGTTGAATCAAGTTGTATGCAGAATAAATACATAAGCTAATCCTGTTCGTTAGAGAGCTATGAAACACTATTTTTGCAAGTCTCTCTTTTATCACAGTGGAATTTCCAATTTCTGTGAAAATAAGCATACTCGAAGTAATTCGATTAATTTGACTTTCTAATTCAAGACACTGATTTATTGCGTGACAACTCAGGGGATATAATTCATAGCTGGTCTTTTCTTATACACTTGTGTTTGCCTTTATAAATGGTGTGTTACCTGCTATCTGAGAGTCTCAGTAGGCCGTATCAGATGTTGAAACAGATGAATTTCCTGGCAGTTACACCTTCACTCAGTTTATACCTTCCTTATGCTTGTTCTCTAAAGAGAACTATGTTGCTTTCAAACAGAAACCATGTAGTGCAGTAGATGGCATAGCTTATTTCTAGGTAATTTTTGTCTATTCTCAGGCAACTGGGACAGGGTGGAAGCTAAACGTACAATGCAAATTTAACTTCTGAACATGTGTAGGATGTGGGGAGGTATGGCTTAGAGAACTTCAGTATTAACAGCTCATTTCATATCTTGCTTTCAGAAGTATAGTATAATATAACCAGACATGAATCTTCTATGTAATGTAGCTTAAGAACCTTGTAAGGCAGCTTGTATTGCTTTCCTTGCAGATGTTCACAAAGCATTGAAAACTGAAGTTTTCTTTTCTTACATGGGCTGAGAAACTCAGATGATCAGGTTTCTTTAGCTTGTGTCACTTCTTGTTTCTGTGAGGTTTTTTTGGTTTGGGGTTTTTTGGGGGGTTGGTTGGTTTGGTTTTGTAATGGAGTAGAAAGTAAGTCTAATTCCTGATAAGTGCAAGGGTATTTATGTTTACTTAATACTTTGGTAATCAATCCATTATGGCTTTTTGCTTCCTTTTGGAATGTTTATGTTCGGGGCTGGGGGGATATGTTCTTTCTTTATTATGATACTGTAGTATCACTAATGTTCCATTTTAATGGCACTTCAGTGAATTCATTGGAAACTGCATTGAGTTCTAGTGCATTTTATATCCTGGTTCTGTGATTGAAGACCGCCCAAAATGTAAGAGGTATATTAGGAACTTAATTAAAACTCTATAGCAAACTAACAAGTACAAGCATTTATTTAAGTTTTTATCTGTAAAATGAGACATTTCTGAAATGTACGTAGCTCTAGTGTGTACTGAGTTTGCTTTTTTTTATTTTTTTAATAATAAATAACCTTTAAAATTTTTCTGGAGGTGCTGTTATTTTAGAAGCTGTATAGTCTTTCTAACAGTCTGTTACAGTCTTTCTAACCCTTAAGTTGTAGGGAGAAAGCCATGAAGTTCTCTTTTAAATACAGATTAGAATTAGGGAGGGGGTCTGCTAAAAGCAGAACAGAAAGCTAGATATCAAAATCTGTCCTCTTTATTAGAACCTTTCCTGACTGTGTTACCGGAGGAGGAGTGCATTAATTGCTGGAGATACCTGTGCTTACTTATTTTAAGAGTGCTATTATTAAAAACAAACCAAAGCATAAACGCTATTTGCTAGCTAAATTTAAAATTGAACTTTGAATAAGTATTTGAAAACTTTATCAAATTTGTTGTCCACTGCTAAATGTTTTACTTTGCAAAGCAGATTGTTCTGTACTCTTTCTTAACAAGTTCAACCATCATTTATAATTCAATGGAAATAAAACTGGTGTACTGGAAGCTGTGTTGTACATAGAATAGTCTTAAAACGTGCCTCAGAATAATTTCTCAGTATTTTATGAATGTGTTCTTTGCATATGGCTTACTCAAATCATTCTTAAATTTTCTCTTAGCTAATGGTTTATTTTGCAATGCGCCACCAACTTAGCTCACTTTTTAAAATTTCCTTCTTCATACAAAAATTGAGATTTTTACAGTAGTAGTCAGAACTAGGCATGTTTGTGTCAGAGACTGAAAAAAAAGAAATATATAAACTGAAATGTGCATGATGCAGACCTGTACCTACCTCAAGACCGGAGGCCTCTAGCTAATTAGTTAATGTGAAGTTGTAACAACTGCTCAGTAACTTTTTTTTTTTTGCAAGTCTACTTATGTGTGATTTATGTGTTCCTTCATTTAAGATTGCCACTATTTTCTCAACTGCTGAATTTTCAAACTATTTTTTTTTTACATATGCTGAAGAAAGAATGCTGCTTGATTTTTTTTTTTTTTTTTTTTTTCCTTTTCCTGTAATCTTCCTTCTCTATCATATTAGGTATCAGAGATTTTTTTTTTTTTTTTTTTCCTTAGGACAGCTCTTCATGCCCCAAACTTGAGGTATTGACAAAGATCTTTATTTGGCTGACTCATCATGTATGGGTAATTTTTGTTGGAGGTGAAAAATTCTGAACAGATATACCTGTGTACTTTTGTATGATGAATTGCTGGAACAGGAGTTAATGTGTTCCATTTAATGTGGAATAAAGTAAGTATTGTAAAAGAGGCAAATCTAGCAAATAGTTACAATTTAAGTATTCTTAAAATAAACATGCTGTATTCCAGTTGCCAAACAGAAGCAATAGTAGAAGCCTTTATTACAGTTGTATCAGATGGCTTTTTCAGAATGTTCACTAGTGTAGCTCTGCAGAAGATGAGATCCAACTGGGTAACCATAACAAGAAAATACAGATTTTGGACTGGTAACTGAGTGTTCAGGTAGGGGAGTCACAGGATTCCAATTACTGTGTTTAATGGGAGAAATGGAAAAGAGATGCTGTAGGGCAAAGCAATATATAATTGTATGCTTTTACCAGGACATCAATTTTCTTGTAGGTCTCTAATGGTGATATTACAATTTTCGTACTTAAGTATGCACAATCTTTCTTTTTTCTTTTTTTTTCTTTTTAATTGAATGGTTCAGAAAACCTGTGGTAGAAGAAACTTCACAAACTTTAAATATCTTAATAGACAGACTAGAGACTAGGAAAAAGCGTATTCAATCTTTGCTTTTTGTGGGACTGTTTTTAGGAAAGTTAAAATCAGATACATCTTCATTGCTATTTGTCACATGCCTGTGTGTTTTCCCCAGGTGTATCATAGACAAGTAGACGTTAAGGTGAACTGAAAACGGGCTGAATTGCTGGGCTGAAAGTGGTGGTGTCAGCAGCCTGAAGCCCAGTTGGAGACCAGTCACTAATGGTGTATGCTGGAGGCTGCTACTGAGGACATTACTGTTTAACATCTTTGTTAGTGACCTGGATGAGACAGAATGCACACTCAGCAAGTCTGTAGACAATACAAAACTGGGACAAGTGGTTGATAAAACAGATGGGTGTGCTGCTATTCACAGCCAGACAGGCTGGAGAAATGCACTGACAGGAACCTCATGCAAAGTCCTGCATCTGGGGCAGAATAACAAGTACATGGTTGGAATTGACTGGCTGGAGAGCAGCTTTTCAGAAAAGGCCCTGGGGTCCTGATAGACGGCAAGTTGAACATGAGCTGGCAATGTGCCTTTGTGGCAAAGAAGGCCAATGACATACTGGACTGCTTTAGAAAGGGTGTTGCCAGCAGGTCAAGGGAGGCTCCCCAGTATGAGAGATACATGGACGTACTGGAGCAAGTCCAGCAAAAGGCCACTAAGATGATTAAAGGACTGGGCCATCTGTCATACTAAGAGAGGCAGAGACCT